TTTATTTCCTCTGGGAAATGGAGAGGCTGTGAAACACTGAAGCAGTGGCATGCCCAGGTAAGTGTTTTATACCCTCACAGTGGAAGCTGTGAAATTTACCCTATTACATATATTTACTGAGGGCCTGCGACATGCCAGGCTTTAATTCAGCAGTGAGCAAACGGAAACCTTCATTTGCTTGAAGTGTAGTGAGTGAATCTATGTTCAAATAAGCAAGACTAAAAACTATCAGCACAGAAAAAGGCAGTGATAAAACTTTGTATCATTAATACCAACTACTAAAATACCTCTGCCATCTTTGTAAGCACTGTAATGTTAGGTAAAAATAAAATCTTTCTCAACATCATGAGTCATCAGGGAAAGGCAAATCAAAACCACAATGAGATGCCACTTCACACCCACCTAAGATGATGATAATCAAAAAGATAATAAATGTTTACTAGGATGCAGAAAAACTGGAATTCTCATGCACTGCTAAGTGGGAATATAAAATAGTGCAGTACTTTGGAGAACAGTCTGCCAGTTCCTCGAAAGGCTAAACGTAGTTACCACATGACCCAGCAGTTCTACTCTGAAGTGGATACCCAAGAGAACTGAAAACATGTCCACCCTGAAAGCTGTATAGAAATGTTCACAGCACCATTATTTGTAACAGCCAAAAAGTGGAAATGTCCATCAACAGATAAATGGATAAATGGAATGTGGTATATCCACATTATTCGCCAATAAAAAGAAATTAAATACTTACACATTCTACAATATGAATGAACCTTGGTTCATTTCACTGACCACCATTTGGTCAGTGAAAGAAGCCAGTCAACAAGGGACCACATAATGTTACATGAAATATCCAGAATAGGCAAATCTACAGAGACAAGAAGTAGATTAATGATTGCCTTGACCTGGCAGGAGCTGGAAGGTTGGGGAGTGACAACTAAGGAGCACAAAGTTTTCCCGTGGGGTAATGAAAATATTCTAAATTTGATTGTACTCATGGCTGCACAGCTCTGCGAATGTAGTAAAAGCCACTGAATTATACATTTTAAATGGGTAAACTGAATGGTATGTGAATTATATCACAATAAAGTTGTTTTTACTAAATTCTAATCATTAATGATCTCTTCAAAATCCTTACTCCTCTTTCCTCATGAAGCCGGATGACATTTTTCCCAGCAAAGAATGTGTAATAACGCAAGAGTGTTAGACAAATACCAAGGTTCAATTTTCTACTGGCAATTCTTTTTTCTAAAAAAACTAATCTTCTACTTGTTCAGCAGAAAACAATTTATTTCTAGGATATCCAAATAAAAGAAGAGTAGCTTTGACCCCTTTGGCACAAAAGATTAGTTTCTCAAGAACATCAAAGGCTAATAAGTTTTTCTATCTGATTAATCAGTTTCATCTTCTATAAGTTTTCATCTGATCACTACTGTATTTTCAATAACTACATTTTAAATTATAAATGATTGGAAGTAAAATGAGGAAGAAAGTAGTTAGATTTCAAGTAAGAAGAACTGGCTCTAAACTCTTCTATGTAACAGCCATGTGTCCTCAACCAAATCTTTAACTTCTCTTAGCATTTTTTTAATCTGCAAATTGTGAATATATCAGTTCCACCAGTGTCTCAAGATTTTGGCTAGGATCATATAGTACTTGCTAACAGATTCTAAAATTGTTCATCACTCCAAGGTAAGCTAGTAAAATCTGGGACACTGGTTATATAGTAATAACACCAAATGTTTGGTGACTTGAACTAGAGAGGTCCAGAGGCAATGAAAGTCAAAAAGGGAAATAAAGAAATAATGTTAAAATGTCAAAACTCTTGGGGGTGCCTGGGTGGCTCAGTCGTTAAGCGTTTGCCTTCGGCTCAGGTCATGATCCCAGGGTCCTGGGATCGAGCCCCACATCGGGCTCCCTGCTCCGCGGGAAGTCTGCTTCTTCCTCTCCCACTTCCCCTGCTTGTGTTCCCTCTCTCGCTGTCTCTCTCTCTCTCTCTCTCTCTGTCAAAAAATAAATTAAAAATTTTTTTTATTTAAAAAAAATTAAAAATTTTTAAAAATGTCAAAACTCTCAGAAGACAGGGGACACCTTCCTTTATAATATGCAAAACTATGAGTATGAAAAAATTCTATATGTAACATTTACACCCACATTTTAATTAGGATTTCTGAAATATACTGCCACAAAAATGAATTATTTGTTGTTAATAATTTTAAACAAGTTATAATTGCTGACAGTTCTAAAGTTGATGTTAAGGTAGTACTTCAACCTTTATTTGCTTGTAACCACACTCCTATTAGCCCAGGAGTCTGAGAAGTTAAACACACTGCTAAGGATACCAGATACTGGAAGAGAATAACACACTGAAAATTCACCAAAAAAGGGAAACTTATTTGCATGTGGACATAAGTGAATGCGTATTCATGCAAACAATAAGTGAGTTCCAAGTGATCTGGTATGTTAATGCCTTTGGCTGACTACCAGCCCAAGTTAGTTTTCCCATCCTCTTATATTTTATTTTTTCACCCTTCAGTCTAGTACTGTGGGAAAAACATACACAGGCATGCTATTCGGCTTTACTGCAAATATATGTCTCCAACTTGAGCTGGGGTCCCATGGTTATTTGGAAAATCATTTTTGTCTCTAGTCTTTGCTTTCTTATACTTTCTAGGGCAGCTATAAGCATTTAACATTTATTTTCTGTAGGCCTCTTTCCTATCACCTCCAAGCCTCAACTGTACCAATACAGAAAACAGAAGCCATAGGATGTGTTTTCCTTCAACCTCACTTACAAAACTTAACTATAATAGTATCCATCCTGCAATCATTCATCAGAATAGTAAATAATAATGTGATTCATTGTTTATTGATCATCTGCCATATGCCAAACAGTGGGCTGAATACTTTATATATAATAATTTAGATCCTACAATAATCTTAAGTACTTTTGATCCCATTTTTTACAATCACAGGAGTGAAGTTCAGTGAGCTTAGTAACTCGTTCAAGGTCTGTAGCTAATGAGAGGTAGAAAACAGATGTGAATCCAGGTCTGTCTATAACTGTGTCACCATGCCTGTGAAAAGTGTTCTAATGCCTCCACTTCTACACAGGGACACCACATTCATAAATTATTTTCAATACTGTATGATCTGTCTCTCTTTCCTAACCAGTGCTGAGAAAAGATATCTAAATTGCTATACTTAAGTAAAAAACATGGCTAATGCACTCTGTTTTCATTTAAAAACAATTTTTTTTTTTTTTTTTAAGAGAGCGCTCATGCACATGCATGAGCAGGGGTGGGGAGATGCAGAGGCAGAGAGACTCATAATCAGGCCCCACGCTCAGCACGGAGCCCAACAAGGGGCTCAATCTCACGACTTTGAGATAATGACCTGAGCTGAAATCAAGGGTCAGATGCTTAACTGACTGAGCCACCCAGGCGCCCCTAAAAATATATTTTTAATGAAAGCATATATGTTATTTACATTAATAAAATTTTTTGAAAAGATTTATTTGTTTTAGAAAGAGAACAGGAGGAAGGGGCAGAGAGACAGGAAGAGTGAGTCCCAAGCAGACTCTGTGCTAATAAGCACAGAGCCCAACGCAGGGCTAGATCGCATGACCCTGAGATCATGACCCTCATGAGCAGAAACCAAGAGTCGGACACTTAACCAACTGAGCCACCCAAGTACCCCTAAAATTTTAACTTAATGTAAATAAGTTAAAATGTTTTAGATCTACTTAAAGATGTGGGGTTGAAAAATTGACTTCCACTGAGTTTTTAAGAAAAACTTAAAATATCAATTTACGCTGGTAAGTTATTCATCTACAGAGTGGAAAAAGAAAGACGAAATTTCCAGTTTCTTCATTTCTCTAGTAATTTCTCACTTTGGCAGAGATTCATTCCTTCAAAGGTAAAAGTGGTTTAGCAACATCTGCAGGAAGAACCTAATGCTTTAAGAATTGTGTCCTCTCTTTAATGGCCCTGACACAGCCCTAATTGGCATCGTTAAGTCTTCTCACATAACTTTTAATAAAACTTCATCAGTCTCAGTCTTTAATGGCTCATCAAGGCACATGATTTATGGTGCTGTTCACATAGAAGCCTAATTCCCTACATCCATATCATATCAAACCCTTTTTTCTTCAGCTGTTAAGAATTACACTGTAAGCACCCTGTGTATAAGTACTAGAGTCTGTCTTGTTCAATATTCTAACTCCAGCACCCATACAGAGTAGATGTTCAATAAACATCTGTTGTAATACATGGTGGCAAGAGAACAAGAGAATACTGTTTATCTGCTGCACCTTTTGACAAAATTTCCCTGAACAGTTACATCAATCTACTGTTTTGATTAAAGTATGATATCAAAATCCAGAGCCTATTATAGTTTTAAGCTTTAACATAAGATTAGTTGTTTCTATAATACTTAGTTTGAAAATATTTCAAAGCATTTTAAAAACATTTTTCTCATCTCTTTTGATTCAAAATAAGGCAAATAGTGATCAAGGAACAATTTGTGTGTTTTAAATTTATATATACATATACAACAATATATTTTTATATAGCTTAATCTATACCTCTAAAGAGTGGGTTTTCTTTCATTCAGTTCAGAATGTAGCCTCTTAAATCCAGAAAGGATGTTAATTATATCTGCAGTTCATAAACACCTTGTCAATCACTGATACAATTCAAGAACTCCATACATATTTACTGCCGCATTCATTTTTAAACAAATATTGCAAAAGATTACACAGAGTATGAGAAATGTCACCTAAATGCTAAAAGCCTGTAAATATCAATTCATAATGGTAGGTTCCTTGTCTATCATTAAATATCAGCTTCTTGTCCACTTTCAATTTTGCTGAATGCCACCCACTTATAAATTAGCTATAATGATTCAAAATACCCAGTTACATTTTTCCTATCATTTCTCAATGTTTCTCCTATCCCCTAAAATCATGATTTGAAAATTAAACGTAAGAACGATTTACAGACCTCCATCCATCCTTTTGGAGATAACTGAAGGCTCCATCCACAACACTCGCAAAGAACTGGCCTCCGGTGATGAAGAGGGTATTGATGGTGACTAATCGACCTCTTAAGTTGGGCGGGGAGACCTCAGCAATGTACACGGGCACTGTCATGGAAGCAATGCCTGTGAAGAAACAAGGAAAAGTCAACAGAAGGCACTTACTCACGATTTCTTTGTTGTTATAAATACTGATGCTAGACAAAGACACAGAGACACACCCCTGGTTTTTTACTTTAAACAAAGGTTTACCAGATACTTAAAGATTTTGTTTATAACTAGTGACTACTGCAGGTAAGTCAAGACATAATGTGGAGATACCCATTTTCAGATTATCACTTGAAAGCCTACAAACGAAACTACCTTTAGAGCTCTCAGATAACTTTAGAATGTATATAAAGCATGTTTTGTAATTTTTGTGGACTAAAAATAAGAAAATGCTCTCTAGATAGGATATAATTATCAAAATATTTTTAGTCTATATGGAAATGTAATCAGACAATGATGAGAATAAAAATTATCCTAGGAGCATATTAACTACTCAAAGTCATCATTTCCAGCAGATACACCAAAACTCTTAATTGGCTTACTAATAGAAAATCCATACAGTAAGTCACCCTGTTCGACTGGCTAGGTATAGATTTCTGAAATAGCTTACAATGGACAATACTTTGGTAATTTAGAGTCCTTAAGAACAGATGATCTTAAGCACAAAACAGATGGTTTTATGGCTAAGGTATATTTGATTATACCTGCTTAAAATCTGTTTCTATCTGAAATTAATGCAGCATAATCTATGGTAGTAGTTCCAGAACTTCACTGATCACTAAATCACTTATGTAACCTTTTTTTTTTTTTTTTTTAAATAAGGATGCTCTCACCTTACCCACCCCAGACCTACTAAATAGAAAACTAGAGATGGGAGATGGGTCGGTCTTTTAAAAACCCTCCAAGCAGGGCACCTGGGTGGCTCAGTCCATTAAGCGTCTGCCTTTGGCTCAGGTCGTGATCCCAGGGTCCTGGGATTGAGCCCCGCATCAGGCTCCCTGCTCAGCTGAGAGCCTGCTTCTCCCTCTCCCTCTGCTGCTCCCCCTGCTTGTGCTCTCTCTCTCTCTCTCCCTGTCAAATAAATAAAATCTTTTAAAAAATTTTTAAAAAAATAATAAAATAAAAATCCTCCAAGCACTCCTGGTGCTCACCATGTATTTAAAAAACTACAGTTCTATTATAGTCCACAACTTTAGGCTAATCTAAAATTATTTCTTAAAAGAAAATCTTGATATTCTTGGCCATATCTAGCTCACTTCTCAGTGGTACATAAAATTTCCAGGTAGGTCTTATTATGTAATCTAAAACTAATATCTAATCAATACTTGTCAAAAGCTACGTGAAAAAAAAATCAAGCAGGATTATCTAAGAAAATGTAATCTTCTTCTACCTGTAGATACTATAAATTGATCTCTAGATTAAGTCAGAACATCAAGGGGTTATGTAAGATACCATGGAGAACTGCTTTTAATGAGTTAATCATTATAATGCCAAAAAATAGCCCATATTGAAGGTAGCAGCACCTGTTGATGTGTTTTCTGAAAAAGGGCTGCTGGTGGTGCTATTTACCACATTGCAGGTAACAGGAGATATTTGTCTACAGTCTCGGTAACTACAACAGTTGTGCTCCCTCTCTGTGTTTATGGGCACTATAAATCACACAGCGGTCTTTTATTTCCCTCTTTATTAGGCAGTCAGAGATGCCCACCTCTACACTAAGTGTTTTGGACTTCATGGTATTTACTCTGTGAGCTAAATTCCCTCCTGATGTCAAAACTGTCCCCAACTTCACCTGTTTTAGATATGTTTTGCCATATTTTTATTTACTTGGTTCCATCTTTGAACCAAGCAAATACATGGACAGATAAGAATTATTTAAGTTAATATATATCAGCTTCTGTACTATTGAATAACTACTAGTAATAACTGCACACAAGTCAGACCATTAAATCTCAGAACTATACACTCTGTAGTTTCCACAAGTAGTATTTGCTGCTGTAGTGTCTATCAATATATATAAATATACATGAAAAGAATCAAGATTTTATGAGTTTCGTAAAATAAGCACATGTTAGTAGACAAAGTATGAATAGTCTTTACAATTAAATCTTCACCTAAACAGCTGGAAGTTTCCATCTGACTGCTAATCAATTTAAGAGAACATATCATACTAAATTGGCTTCCATCTAACTTGGAAAGAGGAAACATTTGATGCAAATGTTGACAAATTAATTGTATATTCTTTTTAGTTCTTTTACAATTAGAACAACGCAATAAGATTCCAAAAATGAGACAACAGTAATTGTCTGGATTTCTTTTCCTGCTGGTCTGGCTCTAACAGGAATTCAGTTGCTCTATTTAGCCAGACATCTTGACTGAGGCACGCAGCCCATAGATTTAAGCATGGGAAATCAGGACTGTGGTTTTAGGCGGCACATGCTTGTCACAAAGCCCATAGATTTTACCTGAGAGAAATGTAGAGAGAGCCTCAGGCAGGTCTTATAAAGGTTAATTATTAAAAATAAACACCAGGACCTTGAAAAGTAACAGGGAATGGCAAAGAGAAAAGACTGAGGGAATTATAAAAAGACAGACTCATTGGATTTAGAATTGGAAAGAAACCCAAAGATCTGTTAAAGGAGTACTCACATGGACTTAACAGTGTGACAATTGCCTGCATTTGATATTTCACAGGGACTGATTATTTTCTTAACTCCTCACAACATCCCTATAAAGGACATATAATTATCCCCATTTTGCAAAGAAGGACCTTACCCCAGGTCAGATGATGATAAGCAGAGGAACCAGAATTACACCCAGACAGAGATTCCAGAACCCAATTTTGAAAGTTCTAGACTCTACTGACTGGCGAGCACAGATGAGGGTAGGCTCTGGAACAATAGGTTTAAATTCCAGCCTCGCCACTCCCCAGCTGGTTAAGGCTGTACAAATTAACCTTTTTGAGTCTCCAGCTCACCTATGTAATGGGAAGAATAAAATTAATTCTTTCATAGGAGTTGAGATTCAGTGAGTTCATAGTGTAAAAGCCCTTAAAATTGTGCTTAGCATATGGAAAGTAGTCAATGTTAGCGATTATTTCTAGGATGACTATACCTCTAGTTATGAGGCAATTTAATTTTTTTTGATTCAGTCTGACTTGTTAGGTGCTGGCATTATCAGGACGAATATAAGTGAACAAAACAGGGTCTCTATTATAAGAGAAGCTATACACAAGCCCTGCTCACATAAAGAGGCAATCAAATAAATAATTTCAAAACACCACGGTAAGGGTCACAGTACAGCTACACACTGGGTTCCATCTTGTGATGCGGGACAACTGCTGCACGCTGACATGATTAGATGCTAGTTCAGGTGGTGGGGGGCGGGGGCAGGGCAAGGAACAATTCTACAGAGAAGAGCATGGCCTTAAGGAAATATGAAATGATACGGGATTTTCTCAGAGGTAAAAAATAAGTGTGAACCAGTGTATGTGTGGAGAGAGGCAGACAGAGTCCAGATCATGAAAGCAGTATCCATTAATCAGTGAGTGTTCATCGCATACTTGATCTGAGCTGGACACAGTGCTGTAGGAGAGACATGTCTTCTGTCCTCATGGAGCTTAGCGTCTGTCAGCCAAAATGTGCTTGAACAAGTAATTAGATGTCAAATGTGATGGGTCTCACCAAAGGGGAAGTGTGAAGAACACGAGCTCGTAGCAAAGGGACTGGCCCAGCTTGATGAGTCAGATAGTTCTTGGATGAGAAGGTCATATTTAAGCAGAGATCAGGTGAATGAGTAAGCTAGAGCCTGATGACAGCGTGGGGAAGGTGACACACACTTTAGACAATCAGTCCAGCTTAGACAAAGGCCTTGAGGTGAAAAGAGATGCAACCTGTTGAAGAAGGGGGACTATTTCCAGAAACATAGACAAGAGACCAAACCTGACTATGCAAGAGGCCATATTAAGGACTTGGTACTCAGAAGCCTTTAAATAGTATAATGGAAGAAAACACGCTACCAGAGTCACGTTTTTAAAGAGTTATTCTTCAGAGTATGGAAAACTGATTGCAGGGGAGCAACAAGTACAGTGACAGTAGAGGAGATGGGAGTAAAATGGAGAGATTCCAGAAGTCTGTATTTAGTATCCAGGCTAAAGGGAATTGGGATGGAACATGAAAGATGAGAGGAAGAACTCGAGGACTGATGTTCAGATGTCCGGAATAAGCAAGTAGGAGCATGTTGGTTACTTGGTACAGAGATACAGGACACTGGAGGAGAAGCAAGTGTGGGCAGAAGGTAACAGGGTCAAGTTTTAACCAGGTTGAGTCAGAAGTGCTCTGTGAAACACACAAGTAGAGAGCAAGTAGAACACTCCCTGAGTGTGTCAGGAATACAGAATATTTACATGTGAGTGTTCCCAGCTTGCCTCATTTCTCCCACCCAATAACTCTGCCAAAATAACGAACTTTTCCTTCCTCTCTCATCCCCTAGGGAGAATCTGGTCTTTGTCACCCTGGTTCTTGAGCCATTACCATGCTAGGCAAAAAAGGATGGAGAAGAAAACATGGACCAAAGATCTGGTTTGCAGGGAAAAGTTCAAATGAAAAAAGACTGGAGAGAGCTGTGAATGAGAGCCTCAGGTTGGTATGGAAAAAATGGGAGTCTTTAACAAAGGGACTGACTGAAGCCTGAATTGGGAGGGAAGGCAAAGGGGTAGACAACAGAGATTTTAAGAAATATTGCTATGTTATAACCTACATGCTATTATATTCTTCAAGACACAGAGTAATATTACTACTCAATTGCTTTTAGTTGCTAGACTATATATATTTAAAAGCAACATCAAAGTGAGACTGGGTCCAGTGGGCTTTGGAAGTTACACAAATATCTGAAGCTCAGAAGATAGTTCCATGTGGATGGTGCACGAAATGGAAACCATGGGAATGGATGAGATCACCCAGAAATGGAAGAGGAGAAGAATGCCTAGAACTTAGTCCTGAAAAATTCCAGTATTTATGGAACTGTTGGAAGAAGAAGGTAAGAAGGAGCAACCAGTAAGCATCCACCTTACACTTGAA